GGATCGTTTTTACTTCCTTGTAGTCTAATTTTTTAGGTTGTTCATCGTCTTTGCTTCGACGGCGATGATGACAACGCTGAATAAAGATTCTTCGGATCCTTCCCTGACGAGGCCATCGGTCCTATGGTTGGGGACGGATTTGGAAACCAGTCTGTTCAAGCAAGGATGGCGTAGCGGCGGCGGCATCTTCGTGGTGCACCTGTGTCCTCGGGCTCCGCCTTTGCGACGAAGTTTGCTCCAGCGTCGGCACAGAGCTTGGGAGGTAGTCAAAGAGCGGATGCAGATAGTCTGCATCGACGACATCTGGAAGACGGAGCATGTGCTGGGCTTGTGGTTCGTGGATGGCAGGTATGGTTTCTTCCTTTGGCGTTTTAGTCGTGGTAGGGTGCCAGATCTGGAGTTCGATGGCATGTCCGGGGTGTTGCCCCGGTCTGATTCGTTCAACGGCAAGGGTTTCACTTTTGATGAGCCACCTCGAAGATCCGCAAAGCTGCATATCAGCGATGGAGTCGTGTCGAGCTCGGGTGAGTAGGTGATTCATCATTCTTTTCTTTGATGGCTGTTGTGGTGATGCCGAAGATAGGTGACGGACGTTGGTGTCAAGCTGAGAGATGTTCTGCTATCTTTTCAGTTTTGTCATGTCGGTCTTTACATGACTTGAATAAGACACGGATTAGAAAACGACGGCCGAGACGTGTATTATTTACGAGTGTATTTACAAGGAACGCAATAATCCAAACAGGGCCTTAGCATCTTGCAAATCTGTCCAGACCACAGACATAGAGACGAATGAGCTACTGTATTACGGTTCAACCAATAAACGAATCCAGCTTTACAAGATGCTAGACTGTAGACAGCTAAAACAAATTAAACAGATTCCCATTGTTAGTTTCATCGCGACGACGAGGAGCTTCCATTCGATCTGCGCGAGAACAAACGACCAAAAGGTCGTGCGAGCCACCGCCGCCTGCCACTGCTTCCACCGTCGCTATCGCCCTCGACGTCGCGGCGTGCATTGCCACTCGACACGTCGGCGGTTTCCTCGGTGCCATTGCCGGCCGGCTCCGTGGCCTCGTCCGTGGGCAGCTGGTACCTGCAGACGGGGCAGGAGCTGTGCGCCTCCAGCCACGGCAGGATGCACACGTCGTGGAACCGGTGCTTGCACGGCATCTCCTTGGCCTCGCCGCCAGCCGCGAACTCGTCCAGGCACACCGGGCAGGTCGCGGCCTCGCTTACCTTTACCGTTGGCAATGCGGCAACGGCCTCCATCTTCGCCGGCAGCGTGCCTTGCCGGCTCGGGTCGGTCTCGGCCAGGTACTCCAGCAGCAAATCCAACCCGGGGCCAAGAATCAACTCGCCAAGCGTCAGGCCTGCTCCCCTGCCGGCCCCGGCGCCATTGCTGGCTCTTCCCTCTGACATGAGCATGGCGTGCGCGTCGGCGGGGCTAACCAGCACGAGTCGCTCGAGCCCCGGATCGGGCGCGTCGCCGTCGGCATTGGCATCGCCTTCCTGGAGCGCGTTGAGCAGCTGCAAGAAGGCGAGGTGGCGGTACTGTCTTCGCGCCAAGGCCGCGAGGTCGCCGCCGTCGAGGCCGTAGGAGACGCCGAGGAGGTCCATGAGGATAGGCGGCCACGGCGGAACCGCAAGCTCCGACCTTGCGCCCGCGTCATCTGGGCCGGCCCCTGTGGCAGTAGTACCATGGTCTCCCACGGCGTTGCTGCTCCGCCGGCCATCGGCCATCTCCTCCACGAATCCGGAACAGCAGTGCGGGCACTTCACCTCCTCGACGCCCAGCTCTGGCCTTACGATCACGGAGCACATGTGGCAATAGTATCTAGAAGTTGCACCGGGTTCCTCCGCCATGTCTTTCTCCTGAGAGTTCCTATCTCCTGGACCAAGAACTGCGTATAGGAAGTTATTAGGAACAGAATCACCATCAGGCATAGGTGTGCCAAGATGCAAAATTTCACCGAACCCCCCAAAAAATATAATTTGGGCAAAATTAGCGCGCTCGTTCTCCTGGCTGAAACAAAGTTCCCCGGCCCTTTTCCAACGGAAAGAATGCACGAGCTAACGATACTCTTAAAACTTGAGACAGAAAGTACATAAGCGCACGAAATCCTATCCAATCTCTAAAAGAGAAACATAATATGAAGATGGATAAAATTAAGAACTTACCACCTATAAGAGAGACGGAGCTTCTTCAACAACACCCGAGAAATTAGCGCGCATGGAAACCAAAGCAAAAATGTGAAGCAAGAAGAAGAATCGGAGGGGGGCCAGGAGAGGAGAGGAGAGGCGGGCGGAGATGAGATATGTTTGATGCCAACGCAACTCTATCGGGTATTACTAAAACTCGTGGGCGCCTTGGAATAATTGGTGGCTTCTTGTTTTGCACATCGCCCGGTTGCTTAGGCAGCGGAGAGTTCTAGTCCACGGAGACTCTCAAGCTGTGTCCGGGCTAAAATTTTGTATACATAGCTTTCGCCGCTGTCATGTCATGGTGTGGTAACGTGAGCAAACCCAAGAACAGGTCTGATCCATGGAATAGAGACGAGACGACAGGGACGGCTTTTGACGACTTCCTTTCGCTGGCGTATCCCTGACGAACCAAGTGACATTGGCGCCATCGATGAGCCGGAGAATGCATTCAATTGAGGAGGACGACCTAATAAGAGTATAAAGCCGTGATAGTTGACGCTCCAGAATTGTGTGTATTTTTGTAATTCTGTGACTACATATATATAGCGAGGGACTGAAGGATAATTGATCTGTGGTGTCGACGCATGGGCGGAACTACTTGGGTACTTGGTTGCACAAATGTACACCCACTGTTTTTACAGGAATCGTTGACTAACTATGCAGTATAAGAGCATCTTTAGTAGACCCCTTATATTGCGGACCTTTAAAATCGTTATACGGGTTGAGAAAAACGTGTTTTAAGAATCAATTTTAGCTGCGGCAGAACAGATGCTGCATAATCAACCCGTAAAAAAGAATATTCTTAAAATATATCGAGCAGGCCCATAGCTAGCCTATTTTTTCAAGTCGTCCTCTTCCTCACGTCAATCTGGCGGACGAACGGACGAGTAAAACACAGGGCGGCCACGACACGGGCGGAGGCGCGGGCAGCCAGCTCATCGAGCTAGCTAGCTAGGTCTTTCGAATCGATTGAGCTGCTAGCTGCTAGCTCCGTTCGAGAGCTGCGGAGCCACAGGCGAGCGTGGCGGCCGGGACGAGAGCTGCGGAGCCACAGGCGAGCGTTGCACAAATGTACACCCACTGTTTTTACAGGAATCGTTGACTAACTATGCAGTATAACTCACACAGATGCACAAAATAAATTCAAAACTTTTGTAGAACTTTGTATTAAAGTACTAGAGCTGCGACAATTAGTTTGGATCAGAGGGAATAATATTTACGTAAACTAGCACAATGTCGGGGCAGTGACATTGGCATTTGCGTGACCCGAAAGTGACAGCTACATAGTCCACAACAACATATATTTAGCATAGGGCATGACCATGTAGCATATTCATGCGTAAATTTGCTATGCGCTTAATTAATCTTCTAAGTTTTCTTATCGATCAAAAGAATAAAAAGCATGTACATAACATATATGATAATAAATTATGATGATATTTTTAATATAAAATAGGATCACTATACATAAATATAGTTTGTCGGGTTGTCGAGCCAAGTGTGTAGTGTTTGCACAAAATCATCTTTGTTATTAAGTTACATAAACGCTTATTTTTAGCTCATTTCTTTTTGAATTACTCTTGAGTCGAGCCTAAAAATAAGTCGATCTCCAATGATTCATGAGCCTCGAGTTCAAATTTATTGTTGCCTTAAACTGGGTATCAAATGTCTGATTCCTGGATAACTAAATCTTCTTTATTCAAGGTTTGATTTGTGTATCATTTTCCTACACTAGTAGAAAACGGGGGTTTGATCAAGGGCATATAATTGCATTAGTCCCGGTCCTGTTACGAACCGGGACTAATGGATGCATCAGTCCCAGTTCGTGAGGCCAGGACGCTGGCCGGGCCTCGGCAGGCACCAGTCCCGGTTCGTCTGACCCCTTTAGTCCCGGTTTCAGACACGAATCGGCACTAAAGGTCCTCGCTCCTGGCGCAGCCCCTTTAGTCCCGGTTCCAGACACGAACCGGCACTAAAGGTCCTCGCTCCTGGCGCAACCCCTTTAGTCCCGGTTGGTGGCTGGAATCGGGACTAAAGGTCAGTCTTCTGTCTCGGTTTTAGCCACAAACCGGGACTAATGAGATGCCTATATATATGCTCGCCCCTGCCTGCTCACTCCTCTGTTTTTTGGCCGCCCGGCGTGTGGAGGTGTGTGTCGCTCTGCTCTCACCTCCTATGCACATGAGGTGTTTGATGAAGCCCGAGCCACACTTAAGCTTTCTCCTCTCCAAGCTCGACCTCCAAGCTCCATTTTTTCCAAGATTTGTCTAGATTTGGCGGTGCATGATACGTCTCCATCGTATCTATAATTTTTTATTGTTCCATGCTGTTATATTATCATTCTTGGATGTTTTACAATCATTTTATAGCAACTTTATATCATTTTTTGGGACTAACCTATTAATATAGTGCCCAGTGCCAGTTGTTATTTTTTGATTGTTTTTTACTTCACAGGAAATCAATACCAAACGGAGTCCAAGCGCAGCAAAACTTTTTGGTGATTTTTTCTGGACCAGAAGACACATGATGGTCCAAAAAGTACCTGAGGGGTGCTCCGAGGGGAGCACAATCCACCAGGGCGCGTCTGGGAGCCCAGGCGTGCCTAGGTGGGTTGTGCCCACCTCGATGGCCTCCCGCACCGCCTCTTTGCTCTATAAATACCCTCAATATTCTAGAAACCCTAGGGGAGTCGACGAAAATTAATTCCAGACGCCACAAGTTCTAGAAACCATAGATCGAATCTATACACCATCACGGAGGGGTTCATCATCCTCATTGGTGCCTCTCTGATGATGCGTGAGTAGTTCATTGTAGACCTACGGGTCCGTAGTTAGTAGCTAGATGGCTTCCTCTCTCTCTTTTGGTTCTCAATACAATGGTCTCTTGGAGATCTATTTGATATAACTCTTTTTGCGGTGTGTTTTTGGGATCCGATGAACTTTGAGTTTATGATTAGATCTATGTTTTATCCATGAAAGTTATTTGAGTCTTTTGATCTCTTATGTGCATGATTACTTATAGCCTCATATTTCTTCTTCGAATCCTTGGTTTAGTTAGGACGACTAGATAGATTTTTCTTGCCATCGGAAGAGGTGCTTTGTGATGGATTCGATCTTACGGTGCTTGATCCCAGTGACAGAAGCGGAATCGATGCGTATGTATCGTTGCCATTCAGGATAACAAGATGGGGTCTATTTCTACATAAATGTCAGGACCCCGACTCAATGCCACATCGATCTAGCATGTAACACCTCATATCACTTTGCGGCCTCACGCACGGTATTCCCACGGGTGTCGCCTTACCTTAGCCCGGGACCGTTTGCGCCTTTTGACACACGTATATGACAGTGTCGCTAGCATCCATATGATAAGGAGCCCGGGCTGACATGGCTAGTCGTAAACCCAAAGTGGCACAGACTTACAGGGACAGGCATCCATGACCCAGCATCGAACGTGTCGGTCATCAGCGAGTGAATCCAGGCTGTAGTACTGGGCTAGCAGGACTCCGGTGAACCGGGCTGTAGCAGGCTAACAGGACTCCGGTATTCATCGCGTGACATTTCCCCGAAGGGACAGACACAGGAACGAAGAAGGACACATGCCGGCCAGCCTAAGTGTTCCGGAGCAGTAGCAAGCTACCATGGCTCGGTGGAAACACTAGGAGACATTTCCCGGTAAGAGAGGCTACTAAAGATAAACAACTAGATGGTCAGATCCCACACATACCAAGCATTTCAATAACATACACACAATATGCTCGATATGTGCAAATACAACATGGCATCACAACATGACTCTACGACTCAAGTATTTATTCAATAGGCTCCGAGGAGCAAGATATTACAAACAGGGGTCTCACGACCCAACATTCAGAGCATACAAATCAAAGCACAAGCGGAAGCTATCATGTCTGAGTACAGACATCTATAAATGAAAAAGGCCGAGAAGCCTGACTATCTACCAGATCCTGCCGAGGGCACAAGATCGTAGCTGAGGTAACAAGCTAAACGTCGAAGACCACGCGGAATTACTAGTGAGACTGAAGTCTCTCTGCAAAAACATAAAATAGGCAAACGTGAGTACAAATGTACCCAGCAAGACTTACATCAGAACTAACTACATATGCATCATTATCAACAAAGGGATGGTGGGGTTTAACTGCAGCAAGCCAGCTTTGACTCGGTGGCTAACCTGAACTACGACTGCAAGTAACTCTTTTGAGGTGGCGCACACGAGTCCACATATTCACCAACCAATACACCACTATGGAACCGCTCCCGTCTCCCTACGAGAACGCCATCCATAGCACTCACGCTTATCTTGCGTATTTTAGAGTATCCACTTTCACTTGTCTATGAACTGATATACGCAACCCAGAAGTCCTTTACCGCGGACACGGCTATTCGAATAGATGATGTTAACCCTGCAGGGGTGTACTTCTTCATACATGTTTCCACCACTTAGCGTCTGCACACGACATGTGCTCGGCAGACTTCAAGCGAAAGCCGACGTGGGTGTATACCACGACCTACCTAAACACTCAAGTCTCTAGTCCAGGTTTATCGCCTATTCGGGTTCCATCCATGAGGAGATCCGGCCGGAGTTTCGCTCACAGCCCCAAACAATGTGATCAGGGTTCCGTGACACCAAATGGGCGCCCGGTATACCTGGCCACGTGCCTACCGCATCACAGCCCACCCCTACGGTCAGCGCTGTCCACGGCCTCCAGCATACTACAAACA